CAGGCACCATTTTAAGCTTGGCTTGAGAAGTTTGGACCGAAAGAAGGGGGAGTCAGCATTGCTCTGAGTCCGACGGAAGGAGGACGGAGCGGTTCCGGTCGCATGTATGGCCGCTCTCGCCCGCCCTGGGGAGCCTGGCAGCGAGCCCTGGCTTCCCCCGCCCTCCCGGGGGAAGTGGGGGAGGAAGATGGTGGGAGGGCTGTTGTTTGTGGTGAATGATTTCTCCGTCTCTCTCACCTCGCATTGAGTCAAACCCTTAGCTGCTTAGGTCAGGCGCGATTCTTTCGTTTGACCTCCTCTGCAATCTTGTAATCCACCTCAGCGTGGTGTGGGATTTTGGAGGCTCACTTTTCATTCTGGGGTCTTCGTCTCCTAAGTCAGGGGCTGTTTAAAATTTTCGCTGCTGCTGCGATTATTTACTCCGTATAATACCAATGTTCATAGAATTTGTCTGACTCTGTTCCAGTAATATCGGCCTACGAGGCTTAAAAATAAAAAGGTAAAGAAGGAAGTGTGTAAGTTATAGGTGAAACCAGAACCACCAGGCAAATTCTTACAAAGTCATCTCTAACCAAAATAGTGTTCCCTCGAAGACTTCCAAGGTGAGCTTAAGCATTGCTCATGTTCAGGGCTTGGGAAAACAGGTTAAGGAGTTTGTTCTTCTTGACTGTTTTTTCATTATTGCTTCTAATTTTCCTTACAAAAATTATCAGACTGTTTGTGGCTTCCCACGGGGTTGCATCCTAGCAGCTGTAAAACGGAAGTTATAACTTTCCCTTCTGATTTGTTGTAGTTACAAAAGGCAGTAGTAATTGTGGGTCTTCCTGTGAGTTCAGAGTCCATTAGTTTCCTACTTCATATTCTACTTGCGTTTAGGTTTGTACAAGACAGGTTTTTTTAGTGGAGAAAAATTATTCTGTGTACATTTGTATTTATGAATATGTCTTACCATTAAATGTACAGGTTTTTCCTTTAAAGTTGCATCCTTCAGGATATTACTTGTGCTTACGATGAACTTTTGCTATCTTAGCGTACATTGAGTTTACAGTTTCTTGCTGTTCAAAGTGACTAATAGTGTGTGGCAGTCGTGCTAGACAAATGGCAGCAGCCTGTTTCAAGGGACAAGTGGTTGATGTGGTCCTCTCATTCCCCAAAGCTTCCTGTCTGCATTAGTCATTTGAAAACAGTGAACTGTCCAGAATAAATAATACATGATTTTGGCCTCTTATTGGTGATGATAGCGATAATAGCAATACCTTGCAGTAGTCTTTCCTTGGTGTTCTGATAGCTTTTCCATATCTTGATTGTCTGTAAACTGGCTCACTTGCTTAGAATATAACCAAGGCAATAAATATGAAGGCTCAGGGCTTTGCTACTGTACTTCAGCTGTGTGCATTTGACTTTGTTTCTCTAAACTCTTTGCTTTTCCCTCCTCTGCCCTCACTGTCTTTTATCAAGCAGTTTTATTAGTAACTCTGAGGCAGTTAAGTCACTGAAAGGCAGCTGTAATGCAACTGTGAATTACAAGCTCTTTTGTAAGAAAGCTTCTAATTATTTATTTATATACTTTTTTTTACTTTTTAGTTACTGAGGGAACGACTCTGAGGAGGGAAACAAGACTCTAAGTATGTATTTGCACCAGGGAATGGTTTGGTTTTTTTTCTTTGTTGTTTCTTGTTACTTAGGTGAGTGGCTTTTGTCAGAACATGCCCAGTTCATGTCTGTTGCAATAGAGTTTGATTCAACTGCTATTTAAGAAATACTGAAGTTACGGGAACTTAATTCCATGTTTTCCAAACATGAATGCGGATGGAAAGAGGCTCAGTAGGGTTGAGTAGTAGTTCCCTGCAGGAAATACAGCACTGAGCAGAAGATTTCATATGTGGAGTGGATTTTTTCCATTAGCTTTGTCACTGGGCTTAGGTTGGAAGAAACAGCTCTTTGAGGCTAATTTTTAAGTAATGTGAGTCTGCACTTTTAGTTGCTTACTGTTGCTTCCTCTAATAGTGACTAGAATCATGTAACTTGTTGGCTGAACTCTGATATTAGGTCAGTTTATTAGGTCAGTTTATTATGTCTTATCTTTTAAAATGTTTTTTTGTTTTGTTTTTTTCCTGCCTTCTGTCTGCTATGAAAGGAAAGACTCGTGTATGCTCCTTTATTTCTTCAGCTGTAGGATAGTAAAATTTTTTTGTTTTGCTCTAGCAGATGGTTGTTGGCATTGCCACTTTCTCTTGTTATGTCTAAGGCAAGAATAAGTGCTTGCAAATAAATATACCTGGGTCACTGAAACGTACCTACTCTACAAGATGCCCATTTTGTGTGTTCCTGGACTTAATGTATAGAGTGGGCACATGTGCTTCTCTGGTAGATGTTAAGCAGCTTTTACTTCCTGTGGAATAACCTAAAGTATATTCGTGGTACTTTTGTAAGTGAACAGAAGTTTTCAACTCTAAGTGGCTGTGAAAATGTTACTTTTCTGGCTTTGAGCAGGAATTGGCATTTTCCAGATGGGAGAGTGCATGCAATCTCTGGGGCCCCTGCTCTGGCTGCCACTCAAGATGTCATTAGGACTTAGGTTCTTCTTTGGTAGCCATGTATTGGAAGCTGGGCTAAAGATCAGTCTGTTTGGCCTTTATATAATCTAAGAAATCAGACCTGTTGACTCTCATGAATAATGAAAGGTACTTTTTATTGTAAATTTGACTTGCAGACTAATGTCTGCTTTCTGAAAGCTTGATAGTGGAAAATATCGCCTATGCTTCTGTATGGTATGTAGAGATTACTTGGATCTGTGATGAACTCTTTGGAACTAGGGGAAAATCACAACCTGTATTACTAAAATAGATGTACAGGCTTGGATATTTCACCCTGGTACAGAGGTAACAGCAAAATAAGTTGGGCAGTCTGGCTCCCTCTGGTTTCAGGAGAGCTAATTTAGATCTTGCGGGCTGAGGTGCGTGTGCTAAACTTGGTTCCAATCATTGTTAATACCAAGACTTCAACTTGTGTGTTTCCTCTTTGTTTTCTTTCTCCCGATAAATAAATTCAAGGCAAATCTTTATATAGGGGATTCTGCCTTTGTAGCTGCTGTCAAAAACCCTTCTTTTGGTAAATAATTTTCTTTTCTTTGGTGCTTTGCTTCTCTTTATCCAGCAGCAGTTTTAGGTTGTCATTCAGTGTAGTGTAGCAGAAGCAGTTATTCACAAAAGTAGCCCTGGGTAGACAGACAAGTGAGGCATATTTTTCTGCTCAGGTGACATAAGAAAAAGTTACTCTGAAGTTGTAATTTGTTTGAACTTTCATTGTTTACGGATCAAGTGTAGTAATGTGCAGAGACTAATAATTCATTATTTACTTTAATACAGTCACAGAATGAAAAAAGAATATATTTATATCTTCCTTTTTGTCTTGACGTTTTTTCCTAATAGAATGCAGAGCTAGTCTACGAAACTGTCACACTTGTCTTCAAACTGAAGACAACGATCTGGTAGAAATGGATTACCATCTGGAATACTTAACAGAAAAAAAAAAGGTTAAAAGGGTTAAATGAAAGCACCTAACTGTTTAAAGACTATGAGCAAGTTCCAGTTTGGATTGGGTATTATGGGAGCTCTTCAGTTCACCGCAAGAGATAATGCGTGCTGAATTTCTTAGCAAACGCTGCAGCTGTTAATTTATATTGAGGTTTTAAACAGTGACCTGTTCTGTTTTCATTTTCTGTTGAGGTAAACAAATTACCATTAAAGTATTTTTAAACACTGTTTCAATTGCAGGTGGATACAGGCACACAGATGGCAGATAACAGGTATGTTGGACTGTTTTCTTGAAGACTGGTCTCTTGTGGGAGAGTGCTCTTTTACCTATGAGGAATGGATTACCAAACTTCGATAAGAGTAAAGTGGTAATATTTCCTCTTGACTGTGTTTCCTTACAGCAAGGCCAAAATGCTCATTCGGTACAGGAGAAACTGAGATTGTAGTGTACTGGATACAGTTACTCTGCTCTTGGATTAGCATAGTTTGAGTTGTCTTGATTCAGTTTTCAGTGTTCATATTTAAATGCTCTAAAGACTTGAAGAGATCACTGATGTTCAGTGATTCTCTGATCTGTATGATTTGAGAATGCAAAAAGCATTGTTTTATTTTCTAGTTTTTATAGCATTTTTTGAACAAATAACAGTATCAAACTGGTGTAAATACATGATACTGGTCTTTGAAGGCTTGCAGTGCACCAGAGTAAGCTGGATGAACTAGTCTATCCAGTAACTAATAATGCCCGTTTGCATACGTGATATCTTTTCTCCTTTTGTATCTGAGTTAGGGTTAATTTCAGCAATACCCAGTCTGTATTTTGTGACCTATAAAATGGTGGGGAGCACAGGGAATGCTTGCTGCCTGTTGACTCATTCTGGGCCCTCTTTCTCCAGCACAGGAAATGTGGTGGCAGACAGTGCGGGAGGGAGATGGAGAGGGCAAGGAGGTCTCATTTTTAGAGTAGAAGCAAATGAAAATCAAAACAACGTGATACTGAAATACGAAAGAAAGAGCTTTGATCTCGTTTGTCTTCATTTCTTACCTGTATGCTTTCTCATGTTTTTCATCATCACTTACACTAAAAGGGTGTCTTGTATTTTTCACTTAATAATGTTTTCCTCTCCAGAGTGACCCAGCACAGATGAAAGGCTATCCATTCACTTAGTGAGATGAAATTATCTGTCACTGGTTTTGTTTGGTTTTGGAGTTTTTTTGTTTGTTTCTCCTTTTCTTTGCATCCTGTTCATCTTAGGAGAGCTAGTTTCATATCCAGATTTTTACTTTTAAGTTTTGAGAAGCTTGAAGAAACAAATACGTGTTTTTTAGTGGCATACTTCTTTATAAAACTTGTCCTGTAGTAAACACTGAAAATTCAGAATACTTTTGTTCTTAAATGTTAACGTTTTTATAAATGATGCCATTTTAATATGTTACATTTTTAATTCTCTTAGCAAAACTGAAGATACTGCTTCAGATTCTGTGGAGGCCGCTAAAAATGCAAGCGACAAAAAAGGTGAGAAATACATAGTAGTAGATAACATTACAAAGGTGGACTAAGCCTATTGCCTTGTGTATTGAAGCTTCTTTATCTACAGTTCCAAAACATTTACAGTCAAAACTGCAGATGTGTTCACTGTTGAAAGCAAAGCAATGGCTTCTAGACTAACAGTGCATTTATTGATGATGTCCACGTTTATTGCAGCCAAAAGCAAAGTAAATGCTGTGTTTCTGTAACAGTGCAAATATTTTTGCATCTGTTGTGATTCGGATGCTTTACTATTGCATGAAGTAACACGCTAGACACCTGCAATAAGCTTTTAACAACATGTAATCTTTATTAGCATAAGTATTAAATGGGCTGTCCTCTATGTATGCTAGTTCTTAACTGTCTTGTTTGTAGGAAATGACATCTTTATAGTATGTTCTCCTGAGGCTTTTATTCTTCACGTGGAAGGTTTATAGATAACTACTGAATAATGCTCTTCAAAGTAATACTGCTGCATGCAGAAAAGCTGCAGTTCCATTGTTATTAAATTAAATGCTCAAATTTGTAAGTTAAAATGAAATATGCTTCATGTATGTGGTCACTGAATGTTCTTTAGGTCTCACTTTTTAAAAAAAGTTTTTAGAAAGCCTTTGTGACCAACAATTGGGAATCACATATAGACTGACACCATTGAATAATTCTTACAGTCAAGTTGAATTAAGAAAAAACAACTAACCCCCCTCAAACAAATAACAAAACCCAATAAAAAACAACACACAAAACCACCAGTATAAAAGCTTTATGTTAGTGTGCTATGTAATTAATTGTTGTTTTTTGGGGAGGGAGATTGTTTTGTTTGTTTTAAATGTCTGGAGAGAAGAGTAGTGAGAGAATGGAAAGATTTGGAAAGAAAATGTCTTTCTGCTATGACCACCTCTGTGGTTATTAGTAAGGATTTTTCTCTCCTAACCCAGAAGCATTTTAGTTCTGATGTCCTGTAAAAAATAGTCTTACAGAATCATAGAATGGTTTGGGTTGGAAGGGACCTTAAAGCTCATCCAGTCCACCCCCTGCCATAGACAGAGACGCCTCCCACCAGACCAGGTTGCTCCAAACCTTGTTCAACCTGGCCTTGAACACTTCCAGGGAGGGGGCATCCACAACGTCCCTGGGCAGCCTGTTCACCCTCACAGTAAAGAATTTCTTTCCAGTATCTAGTCTAAATCTACCCTCTTCCAGTTTAAAGCCATCACCCTTTGTCCTATTGTAGAAACTCCCTCCCCAGCTTTCCTGTAGGACCCCTTCAGGAATTGGAAGGCTGCAATAAGGTCTTCCTGAAGCCTTCTCTTCTCCAGGCCAAACAACCCCAACTCTCTCTGCCTGTCCCCACTGGGGAGGTGCTTGAGCCCTCTCATCATCTTCGTGGCCTTCCTCTGGACCTGCTCCAGCAACTTGATGTCTTTTTTGTGTTGGGGCCTCCAGAACTGGATGCAGTACTCCAGGTGGGGTCTCACAAGAGGGCAGAATCATCTTCTTCAGCCTGCTGGCCACACTTCTTTTGATGCAGCCCAGGATGCAGTCGGCCTTCTGTGCTTCAGGCACACATTGTCGGCTCATGTTTAGTTTTTCATCAACCAGGACCCCCAAGTCCTTCTCTTCAGGACTGCTCTCAAGCCATTCTCTGCCCAGCCTGTATTTGTGCTTGGGAACTTGCACTTGGCCTTGTTGGACTTCATGAGGTTGGCATGGGCCCACTTCTCCAGCCAGTCCAGGTCCCTCTGGATGGCATCCCTTCTTTCCAGGGTGTCAACTGCAACACCCAGCTTGGTGTCATCTACAAACGTGCTGAGGGTGCACTTGATCCCGCTGTCCATGTCGCTGACAAAGATGTTAAACAGCACTGGTCCCAGTACCAGTCCCTGAGGAACACCACTCGTCACTGCTCTCCATTTGGACATTGAGCTATTGATCGCAACTCTCTTGAGTGTGACCATCCAGCCAGTTCCTTATCCAGCGAGTGGTCTGTCCGTCAGAACCGTGTTTCTCCAGTTTTGTGACCAGGATGTCATGGGCGACAGCGTCAGGTAGACTGGACTTGTGCAACTTCTGTGCACTGTGTACTGCAGTGATGACTGAGGAGTCTTACAGATTGTAATTGATATCATCAGTGCTTCTAAAAGCAAAGATGTGATATATTTGCAAAGAGAAAGGTGCATTTTCTATCATTATCTAGTTTCATTTTTCTGAAATCTGATCCAAAATTAATTTTGCTTGAGTTATTAGTTAACTGTAGTGTAGTAGTGCTATTTGAGGTCTGTGAAATACTATTTTTACTGTCACTGCTCTAAGACACAGTATGATACACAATATGACAAAAGCACTATAAATATATTCAGATTTGTTTTAAAAATGGGTTTCTTTCTTTATAGAAAAGCTGGCAGACCAGGTGATGCAGAATCCGCAGGTCCTGGCAGCCCTTCAGGAACGTCTTGACAGCACATCGCTAACTCCTTCAAGTTACATTGAAACGTAGGTACAGGGTATAATAAAATTCTTGAAGGACTGGAAGCATAATAGAATGTTACTGTATGATTAAGGTAGGAAATTACAACAAATGATTCACTAAGAACAATGGTTTACTTAAACCATCATTCATAGTGGATTACTTCTGGAAGGAGGAGTCAAGTTTCAGTTTACTTAAACAATATTGCAAGCAAAACTCTGCAGTTCAGTGTTTTTCTTGACTCCTATTATTTTGGTTAGAAATAACTCTCCTCACTTGCCCTTTGTTTCCTTCTGAGACCTTTATTCTGTCAGGGTGTGTGGTACATTGGTCAATGACTACTGTAAGATTGCTGTCCAGGATTTAGTGGAAAGTTCAGGTCTTGTAAATCCTTAGATTTATATTAACTGTAAAGTAGACTTAAACTTTAAAATTTTGCCTTTAGTAGATATTTGTGCTTTTATTTCTTGGCTGGGAATAGCTGGTAGACCTCTTTTAAAAAAAAATTATAAATGCTATAAGAAGTTATTTTTACCTGACTATATAGTAGTGCTTAATAACTTAAAATACAGATGAGCTGTGTGTACTTCTCTGAGTATAACCCATGAATCAAAACTTTCCCTGTAGAATGCACAGTTCTTATTTTTTCATGAATGGATCAACACAGCTCTAGTCTCAAAGTTTAGGTGTAAATAAAGGTATTAATTTCAGATGTCTGAACTACATGGGGAGGGTAGTGGCCCCAGGGAATGGAGCAGAAGGTAACACCTTTGAAAGCAACTTGGGTAGGAGAGGATTCTTTCAGCTTTTTGAAATAAGTTTTGAAGATATATGTTTGACATAAGCTTTTTAGTTAAAAACTGCATTTAGTTATAAGGAGCCTAGTTCACAGTGATATGTTAAATAGTGCTGAGGCAGCTGACTTTTAACCTTAAAAGAATTGTTTTGCTTTTTAGTTTACCAAAAGCAGTGAAAAGAAGAATTGATGCCTTGAAACAGCTCCAGGTGAAATGTGCCCATATAGAAGCTAAATTCTATGAAGAAGTACATGATTTAGAGAGAAAATATGCAGCACTCTATCAGCCCCTGTTTGATAAGGTAGGAAGACTATGTATATAACCTTTGTCTCCTAGCCGAGTCTGTCCCTTTCTGTTTGCATGTATGTAATTTTACATCTTCAATTACATTCTTGATTTTTCTAACAGAGAAGAGAGTTTATTAATGGAGAAGCTGAACCCACAGATGCAGAATCAGAATGGCACAGTGAAAATGAGGAAGAAGAAAAACTAGCTGTGAGTACAAGCTGGGTAATGAACTACAGATATATCACATTTTCAGAATTAATTCCTGTGCAGTGTTTCCCATTGACAGCCTCATCTTTTGGAAAGAAAGGTTTTATGAGTAATTATGTGCTGTTGTGATGAATATACTGCTATGTCCAGTGAAAGCCTTTTTGTTTAGCCTTTTTTCAGGTTTGTAACTTGAATGAAATGAAAAGTTGCCTTTGTTTGCACTGTTCGTAACCTGTTAACAGTATCCTTCTGATAATGGGTTCCATTCCAGTGCTACATGATACCCCCAAGATAATAGAAGGCTGGCTGTTTGTCTGCCTGTCCCCTTTATTATGGGGGACATGATTACCTTTTGTTTTCAGAAATACAGATTAGATACAGAGATGTCACCTGGTCATAAAATGAAATTTACCTAATAAAATATGTACTGGCTAGTGGGTTATTACTTGCGTATTGAGTCGGAGCTACCTAGATTTAGGAGGGATAAACGTGATCTGTAGGCTGCCTTCTATTTCTGTCGTCATTTTTGGAGATGAGTACTCCTGGCTTACTACTTTTTCCCAGAGATGCGACCTACTTACAATGCTGTGTTTGCCATTCCGTCGGGTTTTCTTTGCAGGTTTTTTTTTCCCCGTAGCCCATCTTCTTTCAGTTTCCTTTGGACACTGTTCTGTGTACAAAGTGAATTGTTCTCTTTATTTTTACTGCTCTTATGAGATTTAACATGACACAGTACTTCGTGTGCATAATCAAAAAAGCTTTGTTAGGCTTTGTATAAATACAGCATTGACAGGCCGTGTTCCTTGCAATTAGAAGATCAGAAACGTGCCTAGATGGCAAGTAAACAGCAGCTTCGTGTTCTTGTCTAGTCGTAACAAGAGTGGCTGCTATTCACATCTTGTATGTTTGCTGCTATCTAGTGGTGCAAAAGGAAAAGTGCGATACAGCTAATTCAGACTGCAAATGTCCTGTGGTTGGTTTTTTTGGCTTGGTTTTTTTGGCTTGGTTTTTTTTGTGATGAAGAAGTGACTTAGTAATTCTTCCTTTTTATAACATTTTGCATCAGTTATGTGTAGGAAAAACTGTGTCACAAAAGATTAATAATTGAAGACCATGAAATAATGAATAATAACTATGAAAACCAACTTTATCAATTGAGAAACTGAAACAGTGTTTCAGAGGACAAAGTTAGATTTTAAATTTTTACACAAAACACTGTAAATGACAGGAAACTACAGGAATAAGACTAATAGAAAAGTAGAATTCTATTTATTTTTTCTGTTTGTAGAAAGATAAAAATGTATTTTATTTCTATTTGTCAAGTAAGTGAAACTGTCACTGGATCTATTTAATCTTTGTACAGAAGAATTCCAAATGAGTAGGAAGTAAATCTGAATTAAATGTACTTATGTTTAGTTGCGTAAATAAGCCTTGTGTTTCTTACTTTCATTTACAGAGGAAAAAACAGTATGAACTTTAAATGTTCTTTAAGCGGAGCTTCAGAGGTGGCAAATGTTTTGTACGCCTATTGCTACTGATTAAATATATTAAAAAGTCATTTGTTTCATTTTTTAAATGTTTCTGTATTTGTTTCACAGGGAGACCTGAAAAATGTTGTGGTAATAGAAGAAAAAGCAGAAGCAGAAGAGACAAATGTCAAAGGAATTCCAGACTTCTGGTTCACTATCTTTAGAAACGTAGATATGCTAAGTGAATTAGTACAAGTAAGTTTCTCCTCTGGAAAAATAATAATTTCTGTCTTGTGTTAGGTGGGTTGCTACTTTTTCCAGTCCACAGTGAATATTTGTGGAATGTGTGCGAGACCAAATTTGTGTCTTCAGAATCGCTGATATTATCCCTGAAGATGCTTGAAAGGCCAGTGATGGACAAGCAGAACAGCTGACCCAAAGTGCTGAACACTATGTGGATTGTTTAAGAAATGACCTTGTAACAACTTCTGTAGATACTGAAATGCAAGTTTGCGTACTCCTCACAACAGCTGTTCCCCTGTAGTTCTGTTAATTTAGTCCATAAAGGATTGGTTTTGCGAGGATATTATAAGCATACCTGAGGACTGGTTGAAATTGTGTTCAATAGCTTCTGTAGTTTTGCCCTTGGTTGTCTTAATTGCTATTAATGCTGTTAAGGAAGAATTCTCTGAAACCTGTCTTTCTGTCCATCTCAGCAGCAATAGATAATCCTGAATTAAGTGATTTTCAGTAATGTTCATGCAGCCTAGCATGGCAGCAGCTGTATTTACTGAAGACAAGGCCTATTAGGAATCTGGCATGTGGCTTTTGCAGCTATGGTTAAGAAATTTGGATCCAAATCTGAGCTTTAACTGAAATTGTTGAATAATTACAAAGTTTCTTAAGAACAGGTTGAACAAGCAAGCTAGGCTAAAATTTTGCTCTTCTGAATATTGCCTGCTCAAAAGGATTTTTTTCTTTAAGGAATATGATGAACCAATCTTGAAACATCTGCAGGATATTAAAGTTAAGTTTTCTGAACCTGGACAGCCTATGGTGAGTTTTCTCTGTTTTTTGTGAAGTTTGTGGTAATGAAGTGAAGAGCATTTCAAAATTTTCATCCCTTTCTCTTAAGCTGGAGCGTATGTGGGAGTTTCTCTCTAGGCTACTATCTTCATATTTTGCCTTCTAAAGATTTATCTTCAGCTTTCCTGACACTTTGCTCTTTCATCCTTAGCCTGGACATCGCTGTAGTTTCTGGATTCCAATTCTGGCTCAATTCTATCTGGTTTTCACTTTTTTTCTCTCTCTCAAATTCCAAATTTTTGCTACTCTTACTAAGAAAATTACATGGCTGCTTTTGGTTTGAAAGTGAATCGTGGAAAAAATTCTGGGTGCTACTCACTGTACTGGACATTTAATCGAAAGAAGAGACGTGACTTAGTATTAACTATTAATGTTAAGTAGTTTGAATCAAAAACAATGATGATGGATACTGTGCCTGTTGAAAAGGGATAGTAAAATATATTAATCTTTTAAAAGTGTTCCAAATGAGTAATTCTTGAAGTACAGCTATGCCTTTTTTAGAAATGGTTTTAGTGCTGAAGTTTAGTGTAAGGAAACAGATGCTGTGTTTGTGAAAAAGAAGTTGTTCTGTTGCATATTTAATTCATGCAGACTATGTATATTCCTTGAAGTCCAAAAGGACTGTAGCCAGGGAAAAGGATGGGATTTGAGCCTTCACATCCTTTCTTCTAAACTTCATCCTTGTCTTTTTCCCTATGTTTGGTGGTTTTTGTTTTGCCTAATGGAGTTGCAGTCTTCTCACAAAGTCTAAAATGCAAGAAATGCTTCGTTGAAGATTCATGACAGAAAAATGGAAGGACTCTCTCAAAGGACCTTTTATAGGTTATGAACAGCTGAAGCAAAGTTTTCAGTCCTCGTTTGCTCTTCTGTTAGTACCAAAAAAATTGAGCTGACAATAGGCAAGGGAAGTATTATGAATAAAGAAAAATTGGGAATTAATTTCCTAAATGTAGCTCGGGCTCAAAGAGGATATAAATTTTATGAAGAAAACTAATTCTTTTAAGCAAGTTGGTGGGTTTTTTTTGTCTTGAAGCATATCTGTTCAGTGACGCGTGGTTGATTTGGTTTTTGCCTACAGCATTTTTGAGTTCTCATTCAGCTTTGTTTTACAGTACCTTAAGTTGAAGAACTGCTCTTAAAACATCAGTGACTTTTATCTTGTCTCGCACTGTTCGTAACCTCTTGACAGCATATTTCTGTGAATAGGTTCCATTCCAGTGCTACACTAAATCCGCTAATGGAAGGCTGACAAATTCCATGTCCCTTCTGTATTTGGAGACAAAAGGATGCATTCCTGATTACTTGAGTGAAAGCTGTTGTCCAGTTATGTGTGATTGTCTTGTGTGAAATTCTCTGGCTATTGAAAATTGCTGCAGCAGTGATAGCTTCTTATTGTAAAGGGCTGACATAACCTGTGTGTAATAGACTAATTCTGCTGGGGATGAGGTTTTGCTACTAAAAGAAATACACAGTAGTATTTTCTGATTTACCATTGACCCAAAGTAATTAACTGTAGCTACTGTCCTCCAAAAGTAGGTTTACCTGGCTACAGCAACGGTGCTTGCAAAGTTGTTTGCTATAGCCTGTATATATAAACTTTTATCTGCATGAAGCGTAAGTTATTCCCTTACTATCTGCTTTTATTTATCTATGATCAGATAAATAAAGGTACATCTGTTTGTATAAATTATAATTTCTACTTACATAGCATATATATGTATTTGGACATCAGAGCCCTTAGCTTAGCACACTCGGACCTGGATGCTGCCTCTGGGTATAACTTAAATCGCTTAAAATAAGGAAGACCTCTTTTTTGAACTTCATGAGAACATCTCATACTATAGGGTAAATTTAGAAATACATACTACAGAGCTAAGCTGATATCAAAAGCAAAGACATCCAAATAACGTTTGAATTTTGTTTTACTTTTAAATAGTTTGTACTTGATCCCGAGCGCAAAGTAACGTTGCAATATAACATTGTGCACTTGGTTTTTGAAAGCTTTACAGATAAATAGTTTGTACTTGATCCCGAGTGCAAAGTAACGTTGCAATATAATTGTGCACTTGGTTTTTGAAAGCTTTACAGACTTGAAAATTGATGTATTGTGTATGCTGCGGTTTTCTATAACGGGAGACTTTTGATCTCCATACAAGAAAATGAATTTCTGCAAACAGTTTTCAGGTGCCGCAGGAGAGGTGAGCTCAAGTGAAAGCAGAAACACCTCCTTCAGGCTGTGTCCTGTTAGAACAGGGATGGTGACGGCTTCCACAGAAAATTAAACAAAGTAGTTATTTGTGTGGTTACTTTTAAGACAGCAGTTCTGTATGCAAAAGTCAATGAAATGTAGTAGATGACCTGATTATAATTTCAGTGTTCATAGGAACCAGTGTTGTTCCAGCTGCTTGAGCGTTCAGAATTGGTTGACATTCTTCATTTCCTGCTTCTGCTGTAGTTTGAAAGATATGTTTGCCATCATTTATTTTTTTTTTCCTGTATTCAGAGCTCAATTATTGGTCGTTCTACTGATGCATTATTTCAAAGATAAAAATTAGTGGTATCATAAAACTATAATGGAACTTTCTTCCAGTCTTTCTCATTAGAGTTCTACTTTGGGCCCAATGACTACTTTTCTAATTCAGTCCTGACGAAAACATACAAGATGAAGTCGGAGCCAGACAAGACAGATCCCTTTTCCTTTGAAGGACCTGAAATAGTTGATTGTGAGGGGTAAGGAAAACTTGACATTCAAAAAAACCCCTTCTGAAGTAATAGTATTTTTCAGATGCTGTTTTATCTTACCGTGACAATGATAAATGATGATAAAATAAAGTTTTGCTGACTTAAAAACTGGGAATGTTTGTAGGGGTGATGATCTTAGCTTCAGCATCCAGGAGTAGCAGATACATAGATACAGGTACAGTTTAACATAGTGTGCATTTTAAATCTTACAACTTTGAAATGTAATAGATTATTAATGAGATAACAAGCCTTTTACTTCCAGATAATTGGGTAAATTCATTTTAGTCGTTACATTTCATAGACTCCCATCCTCAGTCTGATAAGTAGCCTTAGGTTCTCTTGGACTCTTGCTCATCTTTTCAGCAATTTTTATTTGGCAGGAATTGGTGATCTGTATGTTCTTGCCGTTTGTTTCGAGGCTGGACTATACTGGCCTTGCAGCCTGGTTCTGGCAGTTGTGGCAGTGTTACTGCCAGATGAACTCAGAATGCAGCGGTTGTTTTGGCAAAATGTGTTCAGAAACTGTGGGATGGTGAATATCTCATCTCTGTTCTGGAAGTCTAGTGAGTTGGACTCCGTGTTAGACTTCTTCTTCGGGTAGAAGATTTTCCTGTCTAACCTAACCCATTCTCTCCCTGTCAGCGATCACTGTTATAACTAATGTTCAGTGCCACAGCAGAGCACCTTGTTGTACCCTTATTTTTCTTAGTTTCTTAGTGTTTTTTCTGTTGGTTTTCTCCCCCGCCACCCACATTCAAAGACAAAGTTTGAGGTTTTGTTGAGAAGGCTTTTTCGTTGTGTGGTTTTGGTTGGTTTTGGTTTTTTAAACTAATGTTTAAGAAATACCAAATACTTGCTTTCTTGAAGGCACCTTGACAACCTCAGAAGCTTTTGGCTTTTAGTGCTACACGTTGGCTTTTGAATTGAGTATTCACCCGCATTCAGGCAAAAAGTCTGCTTGTTTCTTTGGTGAAAGTTGTGCCTAAGTAAAAGGGTAGTCTATTTTGAAGAAAACTTTAGTTAATATCAGCAAAACATTTCTGTTTAAGTCTTACAGAGGAGGAATCCCTTTCTAAAATTGCTGGTGTGTCAAAACTTTGATTTCAGTTCATGTTTCCTGATAAAGATTATGGATACTGGAATATACTGTCACTTTTCTGTGACACTTTGTACAGGTTCACTTATAAAACTGTTGACTTTGACCGTTTATCTGTAGGAGAAGATATTTTGAGGCACCATTATTTCCATTAGAAGAGGAAAAACTAGCTGTTTTTACCACTTGTTCTGTGCTGTGTGCAGTTTTGGTGGATGGAGAGAGACACTGAATTCAGATAAAATTGTCTGTTTGCACAGTAGCAGAAAGGAACTGAAAAGTAAGCTCTCTCTAGCTTGCTGTGCTTGACTGCCCAGTCAGTCTCAGCACTGTTCTTTGGAGAGCTCAGATGTGCCTCTCTCTGGCCACTCTTTGTGTGTTTATTTTTAGAGTAACTGGACACTACCTTGGTATCCAGTGAAAGGACATAGTGTATTGTTTTCTACTGGTCTAGTTGTTGAAGGACTTAATTTTCAACTGTTGAGATTTTTTTTTTAATAGCTTAATCATGTCCTTGGTTACAGAACTCTAGAATTTGGTGCAAAGGGGTATTAAAATATGGGTGGGGGCAATGATCACTTTGAAGGACAAACTGTTGAGCTTTTTATCTCAATTTTTAGGGAAGTATTTGGTATGTCCAACATATACACAGTCTTTAGCACTGATGCATCTGCTCGGCATCGTCAAGTAGATTAAGTTGCCAGTGTGAATAAAACTGGCTTTGGAGAACAGCAAGCTGTTTTTGTCTTGATGGTTGTTGCTCTGATGCTCAGTTCCTTAATTTTACTGATGTGTTAAAACAAGTTTTCCCACGTGTTGTCTGTAGGTGTACTATTGACTGGAAGAAAGGAAAAAATGTTACAGTTAAAACAATCAAGAAGAAACAGAAGCACAAGGGTCGAGGCACAGTTCGGACAATTACTAAACAAGTACCTAATGATTCTTTTTTTAACTTCTTCAGCCCGATAAAGGGTAAGCTTGGAAAGAAAGAATTTAGGATTCTTAAAATATGTTGTGTTTTATTTATATGTATTTGTATTTATACCGCTTAAACGTACAAACTATTTATAGTATACATTTTTCTTACTAGAGGAATATTGCAAGCTGCAGCCCATCCAAACAGATCAGTTTGTTCTGACAGTTCTGTAGAGACTTGCCATTAAGTGTACTGTGTAACAGGATTCATAGTATGGAAAGAGTCTCATGTAGAATGAAGAAGTTGACTTGTTTCACCACAGGATGGCTCCATGCATCAATTTGATGTTTTTAACATGTGAAAAAAATATCTTCCGGTGTTGGTCAAGTTACAGCATGTTGGTTTCATTTAAACCTTTGTGTTAAGTGACGGAACTTCCTGTGGTTTCCTCTGTGATTAATTAGGCATCCCTAATGCTACGTACGTACCTCCCTAATTTTCCTGGTTCTCTGTTAGATGTGTACTCACATATTTAAAACAATTCAGATGGATTCCAGAAGCATTTTTTTCTTCTTGATACATCTTCCATTGTACTCTCCTTTCCTTTTTTCCCCTTCCCCCCCTGACCCCCCAAATGTGGATGGAAGAATCCGTTTCCTTTGTGAGCCTCAGAAGTGTGCTGAGCAAAATGGGACATTAGTTCTTGATGAAGTCATGGGCTATTATGAACTGCATATCCCTTCTAAATACCACTGCAAATCCCTGTGTACACAGGGATAAGAAACAAGTGACAAGTATTTCAGAGCTGGGGTTTGGTTGGTACAGAAATGTCCTCTAGCTTAAACAACGGTTTTGGTGGTTGTTTTTTTTTCTTTACAAGTAGTTGCTGCTTACAGGAAGGGATGGAGATTTGTTTGCCTCATGATGGCTTTGTATTGTTTTTTTAAAAATACTTAAAAGACATAGTGTGGAAGTTGCTGTATAAGAATGAGAACACATCTGCTGGCAGTTGGTACTTGCATTTTCTACTTGAGAACAGACTGAGCCTAATAATCACTTTTACAGTACCAAGGACCTGAGTAGAGGAGGGAGATCTGTTAATATTGGTTGTTGTTTCTTGCGTTTTTTTAAACAAAGAAAATCCACCCTGTTTCTTACTTGTTACAGTACCAGCCCTCTTCTCAACAGTGCTTTGCAAATTCATGACAAAGTGTTAATCTACTTGGTAGTGTCTGTGTGTGAGGAGAGCAAAGGTTTCGAAGTGTTCTAGCAAAATAGTTACTGTAAACACATCGTTAATGTGGAAACAAAATGTGTTACTCTCTGAGAGCAGAAATGTGATCTGCATGCCTTCTGAGCCCATCTTTGTAGGGAGAGAGTTTCCTGTGCAAAAATCTTTGACATCAAAATGGCATCTTTGATGCTCTTACTGCAGCTCATAAAATTCTTGCAAATGCAATTTCTGTGGGTTTAATTTAGGATTAATCTGAATTGTCTTTAAAAGTTTCGTAACTAGCTTCTGAAGACTATAACTTCATTGTTTGCTAGTGGAAGGTCTTCATAGGTGTGTTTTGTCACCTGGAATATTGAAGTGGGCTAGACTATACAAACTTGCCTTAAATGTACTGGTTTTTTTCTTTTTGCAGTATCTGGTGATGGAGAGTCATTGGTAAGTTTACATCTCTGAAATGGCACAATTGCTCTTTGACATATCTTTGCTAAACGTCTCTATAGTGACTATTTAGGTTCTTTTATGTACTTTGTATTTTTATTGCTATTTTTACTTTTGCCAAAGTTGAGTTTCATCTTGATCAAATGAAAGATAATGTTGACTTGTCCAAATAATCCATTGACATTTTGCTGTTACATGTCTTGCTGATTCAATACATCTGTAATGATCACTGTTGGGAAAAGGTCATTATTTTCTCTAGCTACTCGGCACTGCTGCGTGGTTAGTATTTCTTTTTTAAAAAAAAAAAAATCAGTCTGAAGCATTCTGAACAATTCTGTAACATCAGGTGTCAGAACCGGCAAAATCTATACGAGCCTTTTTAATAGAAGGTGTTTCAACAGGCCAGTAGCCCGTATGTACGAAGTGGGAAACTTCAAAAATAAATCTGGATTTATCCTTGGAGTATTTATTTTATTGTTACAAAGTTAAGTATACTGAAAGTACTTGTGACCTGCAGGTTGATGTTGATGACAGTGCGATGTTTCTCAAACGTGTGACTTTGAAATACTTTTGCTTGCTCCTCTGAGCACATAACATTTTTAGTAAAAAAATCACACTGACTTGCTTTACAGGATGAAGATTCGGAGTTTACTTTAGCAGCAGATTTTGAAATTGGACACTTCTTCCGTGAAAGGATAGTCCCTCGTGCTGTGCTTTATTTCACTGGTGAAGCAATAGAGGATGATGACAACGTATGTATGCTATCAGCATTTTGTTTATTAGTCACCGTATAGATAGAAACATTCTTCTCCTTTTCTGATTAGACTAGCTTGTAGTATCAATTACATGAGAATAACAAAAAACTCTGAAGAGATTCCTGATACTGAGGAATAGGAAAGAATAATTCAACTTGCTATGAGTTGTTAATCTTTGTTTCTGGAAGGGCTTTAGTTGCAGTTACTGTGTTTGAATGTGCTGCTGTACAGAAGACTTTATGCAAATATTAGCAGAGCTAATAAAAACTTGGGTTTGTTTTTCAGTTTGAAGAAGGTGAAGAAGGTGAAGAGGAGGTGAGATGCATACTGTATCTTTTATAGATAACTAATTACCTGCTGTGTTCCAGTTCCAGAAATAGTCCTATATGGAGCAGAAAATCATCATACACACGAGCATTTATGAAGACTTTTTCCAAAAGACTTCAGCATGTCTGACTTAAAAAAAAAATCTGTCTGTTTTTCCTTTTCACAAAAGTACTTTCTGCTAGAACATTTATCCATTTTTTCTAGTATTTTTGAAACCTGCTGTCTGACATGAGTCAAAATAGAAAGATGAGCTTTTTTTCTTGCATGCTACATGATAAGAACCTTCAGTCTTATTTTTAAATATGTTACTTAGGCAGCAGTGGAATTCAGCTGTCAGCTTTTAGTTGTCATAAGCTTGAAGACTGGGCCTTGCTAAATGTTAAGTGAAAAAGGAAAAGTGTCCAACTGCTCAGGAGAAAGGCTTAATTTAGGCTGGAATTTCTAGTGTACTGATAGCTCTGGCCTGTTTACAGTAGTGTTATATGGATACAAACATACTGTGAAAGGGTTTGCACAAAACCACTAAATGACACCGCACTTAAATGAACTAATATCCTTTACAGGTAGTTATATTTTTTTACTTGTTTTACTGTGGTGTTCTTGTTCATTGGTTAAAGGTACATACCTGACTGTCATCAAGTTCCCCATAGTAGAGTACATCAGAAGTTACCGAGCTGGTGGTCTCATGTGAGCTGGCAGTCTTCAGCGTGCAGTCTCTTTTTTTCTCTTTGCAAGCTGCAATACAGACTTCTGGGCTTAAGCTGCTGAGTGACTAAACATTTTTATTATTATTTTTTTAAACTGGGTCATGACAGAAGTGTGTGTGTATTTTTAATCTCTCTCCAGTTGCAGATATTACTACTTGGATGTAGGCATGTGTACAACAGTGTGCAAGAATACTGCAAAATCCTGTGCAAGAATACATAGCCTGTCCACAGTAATCCAGATAAACACAGACTCTGGAAGGAGGTCTAAACAAATAACAAAATTAGGCATATATACTTATTACCAGAACTGTAAAATTCCAAATAATACATCAGGTAGAAGTTAAAAAAAATGCTGGGAGGTTGAAGCAGCTTATGTAGGAAAATTGCCTTAAGCTGTACTGAATCTTTTGAATCTCTGTTTTAAATTTTCTTTTAAAGACTTTGCTTTAGCATTTTGAAGGTGCTGAATTCTTTTAAGTCAGCCCAAGTAGTTTTAATGTTGACATCTAAAACACTCTAGAATAGTGGTAATATAATTTGCTACTTTGTTTATTTTTCTCCATTACAAAAAGTTGCACTTTTAACCTGTTTTAATTTCTGTTAGTTTCTCTCTATTTTGTCATAGGAGTTGGAGGGGGAAGAGGAGGGAGAAGAAGAGGAAGATGCAGAGTGTGATCCTAAGGTAAGAATTTTTGTGTTTAGTCATAACGCAGTCAGTAATCATGAGCAATGTAACTAAGGTTGCAATAGTTTGTCGAAAGATTAATAAATTACTAAAAAACCAAAAACTATCCTAGCTTCTGACTACAATGTTTTCATCTTCTTTAGCACTCATATTGCTCTTAGAAGCTGGTTTCTGTAAATTGAGAAAATGTGAGTTTTGTCTTCCAACCCGCACCAAGAAAAAGATGATTTCTGAACTGTGTGCCTTTACTCTGTAACACTATCTACATAAAATAATGTGTATTTTTTCCTTTAGAAGGGTCATATTTGAAGTCTGTGGCTGAACTTCAACTTAGAATTAGTCTGACAGATCTCAATTAACCTGTTCGTTTATTTTCTTTTTGGTGGTTCTGATGGCTGCAGGTTAGACTCCACATGTCCACTCAGCTAGAAAGCAAAAAAAAGGTAGTCCTCAGGTTTGAATTTCAGACTCTTGAGACTTAATTTAAAATTCAGCTTTAAGCATTAGTGCTCCTTCTGATAGGTATTCTTCAATTCTTCAGTCACGGTAAAGTTAATTCTTACATTGGTGAAGCTGGGTTGCATTCATTTAGGTCTTGAAACATCAGCTTTTTTTTTTGTAAAGGCACAGATGAAAAAGCTAAAGGCATGCAAAACTGCATGGTGTTTGGATCAAAGTCTTAACAGCAGCTTAATGTCACTCTTCTGACATAGTTTTATATCCATCATACCACTAGTAAATGCTTTTTGTCAGCATATCCATTACTGAGCTTATGTTTCTTTAATGAGAAATACTGTATACTAAAGAAAGTCTCTCTTATGAAAAGACTGATCAAAACAGGATTAGAGTGGCAGAAGTGAGTATTCTTGCTGTGCTCTGCAGAATCAAAATGCAGTGGTATACCTGTGATGGGACAGGTGAGAAACAAAATGTTAGTTCTGAGACGAGTTTAGTTGTGCCAAGTATCAAAGATCTTTTTAAAGGATTTGGTATTCTGTAGAAAAAAGGCTTAAGGTATCTTGAAAGGTTATGGTTGTTGCCTCCTGTATTATTTTGTACATTTCACTTTTCATTCATGCTGACAGTTCCTTTCAATTTTTTCCCATTTAGGTGTAATTTAAGTCTGTTTATCATTCATACATTTCTAGGTAAGGTGGAATTCCATTCATACCTAACTCCCAAGAATCCCATTTGTAGCCGTGCAATGTGGATTGTTTTCTAGGGTTTTCTGTTGGTTCTTATTTTTTTTTCCTTTTATGAGGAAAAGAAATGGGGGGGAGCAAATAGTGACTTCAAAGTTAAGGCTTTATTAGTAAAAAAAAAAAGAAATGTGTATTGACCAGAATGCCTTTAAATAATATAATTAACATAGATTTTGCAAAGTGATCTCTGCCTTCCTGGCACAACTTCTGCTTTGCCTTTGCAGCAGTCAAACTGTATTTTACATACACATGATAAAAGACACTGAGGCTTGTCAGACTGTATTTTTTTTCCTTATTTCTGATTTGATGTTGCATCTCTTCACTGTTTTTAGTATGCTTGCAGATTATTTCTTAAATATCTCTTCTGGTATTCTTGAACTTTTATAAGTCACCAGGTTACTAAGTAGGTCTTTTTCAACATTTTTATCTGTACTGCCTGGCAAAGGCAGTCAGTTGCTGTTTGAAGCCTTTTCTTGAGCTCGCATGATTTTGAACAGGTATTGCCCTCCTGCTCATCTATCTCTGTTTAAAAGAAGAAAGCCCAAAAGTTCTTTCTACTGCATGCTGTCGTCTTCCACCTTTCATCTCATGCCTCAGAGAGAGCAATGCCTGCAACAGGCTCCATAGTATTTTTTTTTCATTTTAGACTTGTATCATTTTCTTTGGTTACATAGGAGAAGCTGTAATCTTTCCAACTCATTCCTAATCTGCATAGATAATGCTCTTCTTTGCCTCTGTTAAACTCAAAATTGAGCTGTGGTTTTGGGATTGTGTGTTTTAGCGCTTTATTTTGGTTTTGCTTCTGATCTGATGTGCTTTGAGAAGCCAGCCACCCTGCCTCAACTTCCTTATGCTGTTTATTCACCTGCAGTAGTAGAGCATCCATTTGTCACAACAGCTTCTGTGTGTCATCCAGCTGCAGTCTTTGCACAGCTGTCCTCCCTTCTTAAAATTAAAAACTGTTGGCCACTGGCTTCATTTTTTTCAAGCCAACTTGGAATTGTGTTTTTTGTCTTTTAAGACTCATACCCCTAATCCTGTTTTCCATTCTTCCTGATGTTTGTCCTCTTTCTCCCTGTCCCATACCCTTCTTTGCCTTTCAGTTCCCCTTCTCTCTGCTTTTCTTATATTTAGAATAGTTTTCATGTACACAAAACATAATTGTTCTTTGGTCTATTTTCCTTTCGAATCCAATTTGTCCTCTTCAGTCATTTCCATCTTGCTGCCTCCTTTATTGTTGTACTACATTTGCCACATAAATGTCAACACTTTCTGCTTTAGTTTTTCCTCCTTTCTTCCTCTCACTGCTGTCAGTTTTAAGTACATCTGAGTTGTCCAGTTATAGCCATATCACTGTCATCTGTTACACAAAGCACTTGTGGCTTTGGAAGACTGGCAGTAGCTTCAGAAGATGCTACAAAACAGATAATGTAGCTTGTTTTGTCTAGTATATTTTTCTATACACTTGCATGCCGTGTTCCTTTAGCTGTCTTTATTTCACATTACTCATGCTGTGTTTAAACTGAGAAGTAGCTGATGATGTGATAGAGAATGCTGGTTTGAATTATGAACTGAAAAGCTGCTGAGGAGAGACTGCACGTGCTTCACGGTGCTTAGTCTGTCTTGTGAGTAACAGTGGCAGAAGGGCCTGTTAGCAGCAAATTAGTTTTCAGAACCTTTGCAGTGTTCTGTCCGGTTGTGGAGGAGGCAGTTCAGACCACTTGCTTACTTAGCTCTAGTGAGCTCTGAGTTTACTTTCCCATGTGTATATTTGATATCTCTGCTTTTTCTTATTCAGTGACATAAATTAAAAAATGAACAAAGATAAGGTTTAGCTTTAGGACCTTTAACTGGACGTATTTCATGGCAAGACATTTGAAATACTTAAAGGCTTTTCTTCCTCCTCTGCTGGAAAGGATGTTGGCTTTAGTGCCTACTGCCTGCATTGATCCTGCTGTTGGCAGCAAAGTCTCTGGGAGTCAGATGATACTTGATGGTCTGCCTGTGCCTGCATGGCTGCTTTTGTGGATGGGAATTTCCCAAAAAGTGACTTGTAAAAGTAAGGAGGCACACGCTTAATTACTGTTTAAACGTGAAAGATGAACAGAAATTCAGTGGCTCTTTTTATGTGAAAAGTATCTGATTTGAAATTATTAAATTGCTAAAATAAGTGGCATAGATATTTTCGGCTTATGCCCCCATCCTCTAGGACACCACGTTAACTGGATGTGTAGGTACAGTGGGCTGTGTAGGAAAGACATGAAAAAAATATTGCTTCAGACCTGCTTTTCTTCTCCATTTTAGCCCTATGATCCTGCAAATTTAGGTGAAATTCCCTCTTTAAATTTGATGCATGTCATCTATGTGTGTGAACAGCTGACACAGTTCAGCTGATGTAAGTGCTGATGTCTGAACAAGTTCTCTGTATGTCAGCTAATTATGTTCATGTCCATTGTAGCAAAAGTATTTTTTTAAACTTTGAGCAGTTGATGCAATAAATTAAGAGGCAGTGGTAAAAAAGCCTTATACTGATGCTTGTTAGCAAACAAGAAAAAATGGGTGAGAGTCTCACTTAGCTTGTATATCTCCATTGGAGCAGTGTCTCAAACTGGGGTCAGAGGCCCAGGGTAGTTTTAACTCCTTGCACAGAATAAATAAATAAATATTTATAAAGTACTTTAAAGATGTAAAAATTAAAAAGTCCTAGTGCTTTTCATATGAACTTAAGTAATTGCTCATGACTGCTATAGTGAATCTCTTTACAACAAGAAGAATTCTTAATTGTCTCTGTAGCACTGGTAATGAGCTTCAGTACATGCATTTGCTGCTAAACTTGTTTTAAAATAAGATGCAGTTCCTCCTTATCTTTACCAGTTAGTCTTTCTGATTGGTCTTTATTGCCTGGCCAGTGCATCTCGCCACCATTCTAAGGTGTCTTGGGAAGTTAAATTAGGAAAATACAGCATGAGTGGAAATATTGGTAGAATGGGGCAGTAAATAGCACAGGGTCTGTCTAAAGCTAATAAATGGATTGGTAGTGGTCAACTGCCCAAATGTCGCCAACAGGCTGGGCAGCAGAAGAGCAGGCTCAAGCTTAATAGCCTTGCCTGAGGGAGCATAGATGCAGTTGTGATCACACCAACAGCTTGGGGGCTTGTCCTGATCTCACAGGACCCATTAGAGGCCAAGGAGAAGTTTCAACATGCATGTGCCTGGTGGGGCAGCTGTAATGTGAAGAAAATTGTAGTCCCTTCCAACTCTAACCATTCTATGATTCGTCTGCCTGTGCTGTTATCTCAGGATTGGGCTGAGAGGTGAGGATGCTTTATGTGAAGCTGATGGGTAGCTGAAGGCAATTTGGAGCTCAAGTTCTGGCTTGCTCAGCAGGAGCAGTGCTGTGCTATTGAAATGGTGGGAAAAAATTGATTGTTGGAATCTGGATCTGAAATACTGCCTTGTTACTTATGGCCTACTTAAACACTTCGTATATATGGTCAAGATACATACACTAGCAGTATTTCTATCAAAATTCTCTGACAGCTGCCTCACATTCAAGAACCCCTTGAACTGTCTTTCTTTTCTTGTCTGAGAGCAGTAATCAGCACTGGAAGGTCCTTAAGAAGGACTTTGTAATCTCTGTGACTCAGTTCTTACAGGATAAAGATTTACATGCAATAATATGATTTAAATGTTTGCAGAAATAAAGACAAGTGTAGAGAAAAGATAATGAAGTTTATTAGAAACTATGACAAGGATTTTGGTTGATCATGAAAATTCAGCTGAAATAGTTGCAGTGGTCAACCTAAGTGTTTCTGATGTAAATATAACAGGTGAATAGGAAGGAAGGAGGGAGATGGAAAGATTTTGAAGTACTTTCCAAATAGCAGGCTTGTTGCCTGATTGTGGCTCTTACTCAGAATGCATGGGGGAGTAGTGGCTGTGCGCTGCTCTGTGGCCACGGTCAAAGACAAAGAAAAAAACAGATACTTTTGGAAAGCTTTTTGATAAAAATGCTACCATTTCTTGCCTGCCTCCAAATGAACAGTAATAGTACACAACACGTTACCAGTGGCAGATTTTCTGCTTTTTAAGAGAGAGAATGCTAGTTTTGTGTAAACATACCCCTCTTCTTCAAGAGGAAATGAATGCTGTGTTTAGTCCCAGATCAGTGAAAATCAGTTCACATCGCTGTCATCTGGAACCACAGGCAGGTGACAGAGTACATAGTTGAAGTTAGCCAGATGTGCTGAGGGAGGAAAAGCACAAGGAAGAAGTCTGAAAGGTCTCTGGCCTATCTGTGCAGGAGAGACAGCATTTGGCTTTCATTCCCACTGGATTACAGCGACTGTGATAACCCTAAAGCAGTTTAGGTGAGGAAGAGAAAAATAGTCTGGGTTCAGTGCAGATTATCAAGGGGAAAACTTGCGGTAAGGGATCTCAGTTGCACCTGCTCTTCCACTACAGGCAGAATGGTCAAGTTGTCTTAGCTCTCCTTAATGTATAAAAAACTCTTGCATGTTTGCTTCTTTTACAACACATAAAGCTGCTCTTTAGGATAGTTACTTAGTAACATTTTATTTTATGGTCAGTGACATTTAAGGAGTCATGTTTTATACCTGTATTTTTCTTTCCTAGAATTCAGCAGGTTTCTGTGGCTGCTATTTATTTGTTTATAACAAACTATATTAAGAATGGTAAAGAGAGAAGCAAACAGGAAGTGCACTGAATAAATTCTCCTGCTTTCTAAGAATCCTGTTATACAACAAGAAAGCAAGAAGTACAGTGTAAAACCTGAAGTTCTTAGCTGTTTGAGTACTTGTTCTCCTTCCCAAATACACTTCCTTTTGCCAAAGGGGAAGTCATTTTACTACCTAATGAATGTGTTTCTACTTTTACATATTCAGATTAACATGTGGACTTCTTGCCCAGTGTTAAACTGTTGAATAGTTACCTGCTGGTGATGCAGAACCTAGGAGAAATCAACACATTAAGTCCATTTTTATCACCTTGGCAGAAAGGGCAAGGCTTCTAAGGAAAAACTCAAACGTGCTGCAGAATAAGCAGCCTGTAGTCCCTGCCTTCCTCAGAGTTAGTGAGGAGGTGGCAGTTTATTGTTAAAATAGGAACTAGAAGTTGTACCGAGTTCCTGGTTTGGGAGAGTAGAAGGTGGTTTCCTTTCTCATTTGTTTCAACCTTGGCGTACTGGATTGAGTGTGAAGAATGCAAATGTAGATGAAAAATGCGGGTTACCAAGCAGTTGGGGGCAGGGGGCAATACATATGGTGACTGCTGTTCAGACCTTTATGATCTAGCTTGAGTTTACGTGTAGGTTTTTTGTACATGCTAATGGTATCTCTAGCTAGTTCAAAACTGCGTAGCCAGTTTCTTTTATTTGTTGAAGTATTTTCTTCTGATTTTGATTTCTTCTTCTTTTGATTTTTAACTGTTTTTTTCTTTTTCTGCTTATACAGAAAGATTCCAGCCAACCTGCTGAGTGCAAACAACAGTAATAAGGAAATACCACTTGGAAGTGATATTTGAACAACTTGTAACAAATATTTGGATACCTGGCCTGCAGTTCAGGATATTCCATCGCTGCGGCACAATCTTATTAACAATGCTTAGAATTAACTTGTTTTAAAATGCATGGTTTTCACTAACTTTTCTTTATTGCTTAACATGTACAGTGGCAACTTCAATGCATTTGGGAAATAAGAGGTTTAAATAAAGCACACTCTACAGCCGTTGGTACACTGTAGCTAAGTATGCATAGGGGAATAGTCCAGACTACCAAGTGAGGATTATCCATTTTTTTGTTAAACATTGAAAATTGCGGAATAGCAATGTGCTGAGAAGCTAAAGTAAATGGATTACATGTATGGTAGCTGAAACAAATAGAGCAATATGACACTTTTTTGCTAGTCCTCTCCCCCCTTTTTTAATGTATCTTGCAACGTACCAATTGAACTAGTGCTTGAGCAGCTTTCAATGTCATATTTATTAACTCAGTAAAACCAATTGAATTGAAGTAATTTTACTTCATTGAAGGGGGTGTCATATTTGAGACTTAGTTGTTCATCTTACTATTTATTTATTCATGTTTGTAAGTACTTTGACAGAATTAGTCCTTTTAATAGTTTTTAATATACTTGAAAATCTTCTTCCTCTTTTGCATACAATATGGATAAAACAAATAATTTGAATTGGTCTCAATGTAGTAGTCTAGATGGAAGAGACAGACTTGCATCAAAATGACAGCTCTTCTGGATGAAGATCAAAATGCAAAGGCCAAACTGTTGCTGTCGCTTGAAGTGGGTTGCAGCCAAAGAACCAGAAAATTTCCAGTAGTCTTATTGCTTAGTGTCCAGCATGGAAGGACCTTTCACTACGAACACAGAAATTTATCAAAATTCAGTTCAATAAATCTGAAGTTTTGCAAGTCTTACTTGCAACACTGAAATTTATTCCATTCCACAATTTGTTTTATTTAAAGCTCTGAAGTCTTCAGAACTACTTTTTGTTGTTGGGTGGCACTTCAGGTACGCGTTTCTAGTTTCAGCATCCATTGCCAACCTCTGGCAGCAGTTGAATAGCAGCTGTATCAACACTGTGACCAGGCATGTAGAGTGCTCCAGCCTTACCTTACACATTTGTAACTTAATACCGTGTTTTCAATTTGTACAGAATAGATAGAATATTCTATTAAAGTTGTGAAACATGATTTTGGTTCCTGTCTGGTCCAAAATACTTCCTAGGTTAAATGGATGTCACTTTGCCTTTGGGTAGTGAACGGTGGTGTGTTGCCAGCTGTTTGGCCTTGTACGGCTCTTGTCTGAGCATCTACTGGGTTTCCTGTGCTGTCAAAAGCCAAGGAAAAGGAGCCCTTGTAAATATTGTATTACAGAGTTCTGTGATGTAAATCAGACAAGCTTTGTCAATTTGCAAGTAAACAGTCTGGAGTGTTTTGTAGGAGTTGGGGTTTTGGGGAGGCAACGTCATTATTCAAGATTTCATGTGATCTATGAAATTATCATGAACTAAATGAGGTGGGGGGGGACATAAAACTGGTCTGTAACATGTTAAGATATCCCCACCTTGCAGTCAGAAAATGCAGGAATAGGGATAGGTTCTGGACTTTTAGTTAAAAAATTAACACCCCCTCCTCCCCTCCCCCCTGGTTTTTGTAACCAGGCGGTAGACTATGGTGCATTATGGCAGACACAGAGCAGTGTAAAGGTGTGTCTGACAAGGGGAGAAATAACAAATGGAGTTTGCACAAGTGCAGACTGGCTAATAACAGTGCCAGTGATGCCAGACACATCAAATAGAGACATTTGACCAGCTTTTTTTTCTTTTTATATCAAAAGAAGTTGAATGATGGTTCCCCCATCCTAAAGAATTACTTTCTACTACATGGTTAAAGAGGAGTGCTGCTACCTGGAGATAAACATCTGCAGATTAGCACACCAAAGTAATTTATGTGCATCAATCTCAAAAGCCTAACTTTAATTTTGAGAAAACGGGAAATTCCAGAACATGTAGAGCAAAGGTGCCAGCATTCAGGGACCACAGATAAGATAGGTGGGTAATGAAGCTGCCTGGTGAGATGTTCATCCTTAGGGAAAGTGGTGGGAAAGCTGAGCTGGGATTGGTTAAAGCAGAGTTGAGGCAGTTGGCACAGTCTAATAGAGAGCAGTTTTGCAAAACCCAGCCGTGATCTTGCCGTTACAGATTTTGCTGATAATAGCAAAGATGAATTTTTCACAGACTTGTCTGTTTTCAGAAGTTTACTTAGTAGTCTTTGTCTACAAGAAACACAGTTAACAGATACTGGAACTGCTCAGCTCATTCCTTTAGCAGAAAAAAGTATGGAGAGCTGATGGATTGGTTGTCAGAATGTCATAGCTGATCAAATCCAGCCTGGACGGTAAATATAGGGAATGTGAGCATGCAAAAAAGGAGAGAAAAGTGATTAACTGTTGGAAAAGAAAATTTTTTTCAAAAATCAGTATTGGTGTTTTCTGAAGATGGTGCCTTAAGACAAAAAAAGTTGGGGGCCCTATGCAAAACAAAGGTGGGAAGGTTTAAAAAGGGTGAAGTGATGCCAAAAAAGTGAGTCTACCTGGACATGTGCCTGATTGTCATCACAGCGACCTGATAAAACCTGTGAGGCTTAGTCTGTGGGAACATGCTCTTTTGATGCTGTCTTCATGTTGGTAGCTCCTCATTTAAGTTAAAAAAAAAAAAAAAAAGCTCCATTTTTGGGTCTGAAAGTTGAAGCAGCTGGAAGCGCTTCAAGTGCGATTAATTTGGCATGTCGCCTGCTCAGGCTGCAGTGTGATTAATGGCTTCTCAGCACCTCGGTGGTCTAGGAAGAAAGCCTTGGAGGTGCTACCCCACTGCCCTATCTGTTATGGAAACAAGTGGCAAATATTCTGCTTTCAGCTGAAAATTGGGGATGGGCTGTGGTCTCTCGGGAGTCTCTCGCACGGCGTTAGAGCTACCTAACCTGGGAGCTTGATATTTGGGATAACAGGTTTTGGTCCAACAGCAGTACGTTCAGTTATCTGGAGTCTGCAATCTGGTTAGGATTTGTGGTAGCTGGAAAAATTAAACTGGTCTCTGTGTGTTTCCACTCTCCTTATTAAACAGGCTTTTCCTGTTTTAAAATAAAGGAGACTCGTAATAAATTCATTCTCGGCTAAATGCTGCCTTGACGGCAGTTCCTCAAGCAAATGAGGTGTTGCCGAGGAAGCCAGCTCAGCACAGTGCAGTCCAGAGGAGGCTCACACTGAGAGGAGCGCCTAGGAGAAGGTCAGACCAGTTACAGCACAAGGGAATCGCTCGCTCCTCGTGAGCTGGGCGATTCGGGAGGTGAATTTAAGTGTGAGCCATGCCACGGCTGCCTGACATTACACTGAGGTAGCACGTAACCTTCTGAACCTGCGCTTCAAATTTGCACCTCCTCCTGAAGCATCTTAGCTTGTGCCCTTTTGGAAACAATTGCAGCTCGGCCAGAGAACTGAAGAAACACCCTTCCTCATTGAGCTGCTAAGCAGAAGCAGTGGATTATGCCGGGAGGGGGAAGACTTGCTTCTCCTGCCACTGGAGCACGTGTTATGTGCCCCAAAGCCTTGTCATTGCTAAACTTCACCTCATCCCGTGACTTTTTATGTCCACCAATGTGTGGCTTTTGGAAAAACATGAAGTTTACTTTGGGGTCCTGCAAATCACCTCTCAGTAGCCTGTTGTAAATAGCAGTGGATAAAAAATAAATAAAAGGCGGCAACATATAAAAAAAGCAATGAAGTGCTGCATTCATGCTGCTTTATCCTCTGCCTCTGCCCATGCATAAGTATCTGTATTATTTCTCAAATAAAGTCTGGGAGGCGTTGATTTTGTGTTAATACAGTATCAGTTCAGGACTGCCCCAGAAGCTGAAGTCCCAGAAGCTTTTACCTTTGTTGCCTGTGTTTTTCACTATAATCAGTGTGCGAGCAGCTCTGTCGCCGTAGCTGTAACCCATGCATGGAAGTACCTTCATCTGCCTTTCCCAAGCCGTTTATAGTCATCACACTAACAGCAGGCAGAGCTCTTTTTTTTCCATATGCTCATATTGCTGTCTTAAATATCTCCAGCTTCTCGCAGGCCAGGAAGTCCAAACAATAAACACTGTAAGTCACTCCTGTTTGACAAGCATCCAAAAAACAAACAAAAAAAAGAAATCCAAGCCTGTGTGCTGTTAATGAAGCATCACATGAATGAAGGCTGAACCATTCGCCAAGTGCCAGCTTTTGTTTCCAGACAGGCTTTCCTCTCTGCTTGCTCACCTCGCCATTACACAAGCACAAACGCATGCTCCACCCAGCAGCGCGCTCGCCTCTTGCACAAGCCGCCTTCCCCTCTGCTTTTTACCGTGGGAATCCGGACACCATGTGGGGATGCCAGAGCAGGTTAATACAGCTCGGCAAGCATGTGCTCCGACTGCCAGCGCGGCTCCATGCAGCCTCCCGGCCTGTGCCAGCCTCCCTGGTTACAGCCCTGCACTGCAAATCGCCCACTCCCTGCAGATTTTGCTTCCCCAAAGCAGCCGTCCTCAGCGGCACCGTGGCCTCTCACTGGCTCACCGCTCCCTCGCTGCTTGCGCCCAGCATCTGCAAGTGAAACCGATACCGGACCCATCCCAGTTTGAGAAAAAGGCTGAAGAGAAAGGAAATGGTACAGAAAGGAATTTACTCATTGTGCAACATGACCCAAAGGGGAGGAGGGGAATAAATAGGTAGGTAAGTAGGTAGGTAGAAAGAAAGAAAGAAGGAAAAGAAGGAAGGAAGGAAAGGAAGGAGGGAAAGGGAGAAGGAAAGGAAGGAGGGAAAGGGAGAAGGAAAGGGAGAAGGAAAGAAGGAAGAAAAAAGTTAGTTTGCCCTTGCTTGAGGCAGAAACAACAGAGATTAGGATGATGCTGGAAAAAAAAGGACCACTGCTCTATCACTGATGCACATCTTTTTTGCACCATGCAATTCTTACGTGTGAGCTGTTGCACTGACCTTTTCCGAGCACATTCACACTGGCGGGTGTCGAGCCCACGTCAGTCCACCTGTTACAGATAAAGGAGGAACATGTTTTGTGTTCTAGCTTCAACATCTGCTTGGCCAACAGTGGTTAAGGTCACATTTAGGAGAGCTTTGGATTTGTTCTTTTCCTTTTTATATTATATTTCACCCAGTTACGTAGTCTTCCTTCTGCCTTTTCACACCCCTGACTGAAGGCA